TAAAACGCTGATTTCGTTTGCGGTTCTAAGCATAGAAGATATGGGGGAGCGGGCTGTACAGGTTAACGTAGAGGAGGTTATTCTGAATAGCTGAGGAGATCTGATTCCACATCTTGGAACATTAAAATTAATTAAATTTAGAATATAGGGATCATAAATAGCTCCATTAATTACTTTGTGTAAAAATGATAATAAATTTATATTTCTTCTCAAGGATAGATGATTAATTTTAAATAATTTTCTTAAATCGGTAGTTCTCGTTACTGTATAATCCGGCCAAATATTATGTTTTTTGTAATAAAGATATCTTAAAAATTTATTTTGAATTTTTTCTATTCTAATTAGGTATACGGCTGGCTGTGATTGCCAAATAATAGAGGCATATTCCAAAATTGGTTGCACAATTGTGAAAAATAAAATTTTTATTGCATTTAAATTTGAAAAACATTGTGTATTTCTCATTACAAAGCCTAATGCCCTATTGCCCCTACTACAGACTTCTTCAAAGTGCTGTGCAAAAGACAAAGTCGAATCATAGCTTACTCCTAAATCTTTTACTTCATAATTTCTTTTAAGACTTTCTGTTTGCATAATATAATCAAATAATATCAAATTTCTTTTATGAGTAAAGGTTATTACGTTACATTTTTTTGTATTGAAAGGCAATTTATTCACTAAACTCCACTGTACTATTCTGTTTATGTCCCTTTGTAATCCAACACAGTCCCTAACTGTTAAAACTTCTTTGTATATTTTAAGATCATCAGCAAATAGTACACAAGCCGACTCTTTTAGAACATTTGGTAAATCATTAATAAAAAGCAGAAAGAGAAGAGGAGCGAGATTTGAGCCCTGAGGAACTCCGGAGTTCACATCACATAAATTAGAATTGTGGCCCATATATGTAACAAAGAATTTTCTATTTTGTAAATAAGTTTTAAATATTTTGTGATTTATCCCAAAATGGCGTAGCTTAAGCAATAGTAAGTCATGATCAACTTTGTCGAATGCCTTTGCGAAATCTGTGAAAATTACATCCAATTGGTTTCTGTTTTCAAACACTCTGTAAATTTCGTTTGTAAATTGTAGTAGGTTCGTATTAACCGATTTCTTGTTAATAAATCCATGTTGCCATATAGTTATGCTATTTTCTACATGGGAATAAAGTTGTTGATATATTATTTGCTCAAGTAATTTTGCTGGCGCTGACAAAATTGAAATACACCTATAATTTGAGATATTAGTTTTATCTTCTGATTTGTAAATGGGGATACATTTTGCAGTTTTCCATTTTTCTGGAAATGTTTCCGATTTAATGGCTAAATTAAAAATATGCAGCAAAGGAATTTCCAACCACTCTGCGCAACCTTTCAATATGTAAGGAGGGAGCTCATCAACCCCGGCTGATTTTTTAGGTTTTAACTTTTTTATTGCATTCTTGTAATCTTTTTGAGTCACTGGATTTAAAATAAAAACATCTAAAGCACTATTACTATCACTTATAATATCGTAATTACCTTTTATATTATTGTAAACGCTTTGAAAATAATTAGCAAAATTTTGTGCAGGTTGAGTACTTGATAAATTATAATTGTTATTAAGGTGAAATTGATCACTATTTGAATTATTTTTCTGCCTTTTCTTATTTATGTAAGACCAAAAACTATTTATATCGGTTGCTATGTTGCTTTCTATTTTATTTATGTAATTTGCATGTTCGGTTTTGGTTAGTTTTTTAATTCTCTTTCTAATCTCTATGTATCTAGTTGCATATTCATTTGATACCATCTTTAGTTTTCTGAATTTCTCTTTTTCACCAAGCAATTGTTTTAGCTCCATCGTAAACCATGCAGGATAACTCCTTCTAGGTCTTTTATTTTTAAATTTGACAACACATATATCAAAAATATTATTTAATGTTTCATAAAAAAATTCTGTTGTCCTATTTACATCTTTTTGAGCTAAGACATTACCCCAGTTAGCTTCTCTCAGTTTTTCTACTAATAATTCAAAATTGGCTTTTTTAAAATTGAACTTCTTACTTAAATCCCTATTGTCACAGCATTTTTTACATACATCTTTATTAATCTCAACGTATATTTCTAAAGTCGGATGATACTCACTGTCCTCTTTCACTAAAGCTTGGTGACACTTTTCAACAACGACCTTAGTGGAATCTGATGACATAACCAGATCTAGCATTTCCCCTCTGTTATTTTTAACAGTATTTTTTTGGGTCATAGAAGTGACAGATACAAATTCCGATATTGCAATTATTTTGGGATTTTTAATATTTAATGAATTTATATTATTACCCGATATTTGAGGAATATTAAAGTCTCCGAATATATATGCATTTTTATTTAATATATGCTCCTGCAAAGTATCAAACATTCTATTATAAGAATCAATTTTGTTGTCTGGCGGTATATACACTAAGACTATTACACAATTACTAGAATTATTAACTTTAATGTCTACGATAAGCATTTCGTAATTTTTTGATATTGAATTGACATTTAAAACTTTAATTTTATTTTTATTAATACACATCAAAATTCCACCACCTTTACTTTTACCTGTGTAGTTAAAATCGCGGTCAGCTCTGACCACATTATAGTTATTTAAATCAATTAACTCTCCTTCCCCTACGTTATCCTTTAGCCACGTCTCAGTTACCAACAATATATCATAATGACAATCCGCAGTATTATAATAAAATTCTGTAAGTTTTCCATTGAGTCCACGGCAATTTTGGTAATATATATGTAACGAATTCATAGAAATATACCAAAATTAATGAATATTGCGACCTGCTCAGCTCCCATGAAATTATTACATCACATATCCATGGTAAATAAACTTATCATTTAAAATTACATATTTTTTTTTTTAAATAAAATTATTGCTTAACTTAATTCAGTTAATCGACTACTTGTATACTTAAATAGAGAAAGAATACTAAACCAACTCAAGAAACATTAAAATTATTTAATACATAAAAAAAAAATTAAACTTTTATGCATCTACATATGCCATTGCAAAAGCACAGAGAGCTTAACTATAATAAAAAAACCACGAAACTCTTAATATACATTAGGATAATAGGACTTTTCTCGATTAAACATTTTTTTTCTTTTAAATAAGAATATTCAATTGTATCTAATACGATATAACTACTTAGATAAAAAATACTGAACCAACCTAAAGATAATATTTAAATTAAAAATAACAAATTGAATTTTATCGATTCTGGAGAAGTTTAAAAAGAAAAAAAAAACATTCAAACATGCATCCATGCTATTGCAACAGCAGAGAAAGCCATTTGTGAAGCGAAAACAAATAAAATATTATTTATAAATTAATACTAGTAAATTTCTTTGATTATACTTGAAAATCGATTAATCTTTTTAATATAAACGAATATCTACTATTTTAACCTTGAAAATATTAGTCTACCTAGTAAACACCTAGAATTTGAACAAAAAAAGTAATAAACTCAACTTTTGAAAAGATAACTACAAATTATTTTTATAGAGAGATTAGTCTAAAGGCAATCCCGACCAGCGCGCAGCGTACTAATTGTTAATTTTTAAAGGAACATTTCGTATACCTTGATCTGTTCTAGCCATGATTTTACCAAACTGTGCCCAGACATTTTTCTTTCCATATAATTGACATGCATCTTTATACGTTTCGTACTGTGGCTTGGTGAGATCTTCATTGATATAAATTTTTGTATTCCTTAAATTTCTTCTTGAGTAATATACTTCCTTTCTCTTTATATTTGTTACGAATTTTACAATAATAGTTCTTGTCCTCTCTATATCAGTGAATTTACCTAATCTGTAAACATCATATAAGTCCCTTTCCTCAAATTTTATTTTTATGACTTCGTTGATGAGTTTTATGATTTTAGTGATTAAGTTCTCATTGTCTTCTTCAGCAACTCCATCAATTCTCAGGGCATTACTTTTCTGAGTTCCATCATATTGTTCAAATTTTTTATTTAATACAGCTATTTTGCTTTCATTACTTTCTATTTTGTCAGACAACTTGTTAATATTACTATCCATTTTATTAAGCGTGTTTTCAAGTTTATCCAGTTTAGTTTCTAGTTTATCTAGTAATTCTTTATTTATATTTCTAATAGTGCACTCTAACTGACCTTGCTCCACAACTAATGGTTCGACTTGCGAGCTTTGTGAAAACTTTTTCGATCTGCTTCCCATTGTATATTTTCCACTATAAACTAATGTTTTTCCAGATTTTATTTTACTATTTAATGATTCTTGTTCTTACAACACTGTAGTCCAACTTTCGCGCCGGTTTTCCTTGAATTTACCACTTAAAACACTTATTATTTTGGGAGCTCAACAAACACGTGCTTACAGTCGAAGTATCATCACAATATTGTCAAAAGCTATTCAAGATGAGTATGGAAAATACACACCAATTCCACTTATTTTTGGAATTTAATAAAATAATAAAAAACAAAGTATGTACTCATTATAAAAATCAAAATTTAAATATATTTTATCTAACCGCGTATTACAAAAAATCTCTTCATGTCATATTCTAGTTAATTTTCATCATATTTCAAATAAAAAAAAAAAACTTTCAAAAATTAACTAACTTTTGCGAAAAGTAAATACACAATAATAAACTGTTTTTTGAACAAAAAAATGTTTTTCATAAATTACAAATTTTAGCTACATACTTTAGTATACAAATTAACACATTTCTTATTTTATTGGAATCCAAAATAAAAATAGAGGTGTTCCATTTAAGATAAGAAAGTTGACATCTACTTTCGATGTAAGTGGAAATGATAGAACAGTCAGATGGAAAGATCATAAGATGTTTACTATTCTTACAAAATCCGTCTATTTGTTTGTAAGATAAAGTTAATGTCCTTCTGTCGCTGAACAAACTGTACAGTTTCAATAACAGAGCATGTAATACGTTAATTTTTATTAAGAGAAAAACAGTTACTATACCCAGTTTTTGCAAAATTTGCATATAGACTCGTCAGTTTTTTAACCATCTCAACTTCTTTCGGGGTGTGTTCTTTAAATAAGGGGAATGCTGTTGAAATATAGAACAAGTAGATCAAATCATCATGATGGACCACTCCTAAAAGTTAAATAATTATTGTTAACTACCTTTCTAACCATTGAACTAATACTATATTACGAAACAAGCGTGGAAAGTGCCTTTTTGAGCATCATCATATACTAGTATATAATACAACGAGTGCAATCGGGACTATCGATAATCACATAAGCTAATGCATGAAACATAGGCATTAATTTATTTGATAGACCATTATTTCGGAATTTATTTACGATATTTATGAGAGACTTATAATATGGCCGATCTTCAAGTGGTATTTACTTTGTGGTCAGATCTTCCGTTTTTCCGATAATATAATAATTAATAATATTCTCCATAATTCACGACTGAATTTCAACTCCTGAAGCCGACTGAGCTTGTATGGGGAAGAGAGGGCTATTATTATTTACCGTGGCGCTCTTAAAGATGATTGATGGTGCCATTTGACTAACAGGTGAGAAAAACCCGGAAAACTCCACCCACCGTCATCGAAAGGGTAACGCCTGGCGATTTTTATAATCTGAATGTCATGTCAACAGAAATCCATCAAATCCTATAGTGAACCATGCAAATAAATTCACATGGTGTTTTGTAGGATTCGAACCACAACATTTTGATATTTCAAAGAGATCACGTTCTATATTTTATGATTTTTAGATTACTTAAAAAATTCTGAATATTTTTTATGTAAATGTTTCCTATACCTTAATGTAATAATTTTTAATATTGCTCCAAATTTAAAAATTGTTTTACCGAAATCCTTTTCATCAAATTTTAAATAGCTTTTAGAAATATTCGCCCGTCCGAAGTCACGTTTTTGTCCGCACGATAAGCCAAAACGGAAAGGGGGTTTGACATTTAAAAAATATTAAGTCAAAAACGGAAAACGATATGAACTTAAAATTTTTATTAAAGATCAAGTTCTATAAGGGGACGAACCCTATTGATTTTGAAAAAAATGTTATTCAAAATGGAGGTTAAGGGGATAAAATTTAAAAAAAGGATAAATCAATAACGAAAAACAATATCAAAATTACATTTTTAGTATAAATCAGACTTTATAAGGGGATAAAGCCTGTTGATTCTGAAAAAAAAAAAATCGGAATAAAAATTGTGGTTAAAGTGGGTTGAAATAATAAAAAAAAAACAAAAAATTATCGACTTAAAATTTTTAGCTATAAGCCTATTTATTTTGGAAAAAATATGATTAAAAATGAAGGGTTGAAATTTAAAAAAATCATAAATCAGAAACGAAAACGATATCAATTTGAAATTTTTAAGAAAAATGGGGATTAGGGGGTTGAAATTTAAAAGTAGTGATAAATCACAAATAAAAAGCGATCACATAAAATTTTTAGTAGGGGATAAAGTATATTTATCCAGAAAAAATCTGATTATAAAAATGGGAGTTTACGCCCCAATTCTAAAGAGTATAATATCGAATGCCTAGTATTATATATCTTTATTCTAGTTTATTTAATAAGCTTTTCGGAAAGTATTCCGGAAGTTCAGAAGGCTACACTGTTTAAACGACTTAAAAAGGGAACAAAGGAGAAAAATATTCTTCTCAATTGAGATGGTTCGCCCTAACATTAAACTTTTATTCGGCATCAGCATATTAATATGTAAGAAAGGTATTCGAAAAAAATCCAGATTTACCGCCTACTACAGTATACCATTTTTCCAATGTGCAAGGGTAAGGTAAAGACCCCACCTTCGCAAATTGGAAAAATGGTATACTGTGATAGACGGTAAATCTGGATAAAGTGTAGAATAATCGAGAGCTGTAAAAATTAAAGTTGGAGTAGAAAAGGCAAAAGAACGAAAGCTTGTTGCTGGTCTTATGATGGATGAAATATCCATTCGTCAGCATGTTCATTCGACTAATAGAAGGCATGTTGATTATGTTGATTTTGAAACCGGCAGGCAGGATAGTGATCAATTGCCACTAGCAAAAATGTCTTGGGTACAACAGTAGGTGAAAGGTTCATATAGCTTATTTTTTAGTAGATGCATTGTCTGTCCAAGAAAAACCTTTGATTATTAAAGGTTGTATTCTTTAGTTGGAATCCACTGGGGGTGCTAGTTAAAAGTCCCGCCAACACTCGGTGAAAGTTGTTTAAAGCAACAGTAATAGAGGGTAATTGGCGACAAAATTGTTTAAATCAACATTGTAGCCAACCCAATAGTTGCAGTTAAGAGGGTTCTATACCCATCAGCTCCGTCAATTTCATACATAACCTCGAAATCCTCGTCCCTTACGTCTTCGCCATAATCCTCCCCTTTAAAGAAATTGTTAGGTAGCCTGAAATACATTTCTGTGCATTTGTGATTGCATAGTCTACCAATTCTCGGATAAGAACATCTAGACGTAGCATTTTCGGCCGTTTATGACTGACAAAATTAGATTTCTATATATATAACCGGTTTTTCTTTAATAAGTTTAACACATTCATAAATAGAAAAGCGTATAAATATATGTAGGTAAATATATTATTTGTTTTAGTTTTTATTTTGGAAATGTAAAATACTGTATTGAACAGTCTTCGTCCAATGATAACCTAATTATGCGGCCCTTAAACGCTCAATATATATAATCGTACAAGTTTAAGACTTGTACAACACAAAACATGACGTAATCCAACCAATCTTTTGCTGTTTTGTTATTTGTACTCGACCCATAATAAAAACCACTTCTTTGTCGATTTTTTAAAGTCACAGTGATTATTCTCGCGCAATTAGATATTCCAAAGACCTGTCATACAATAGTTGTCAGTGGGAAGGGCTCATAAATCTAAGGGGGTTGCGATATAGTCTTCCATCTTGGGCGCATTTCTATTTGAAATAGTATTCGCCAAGCCTGCCAATTTATAGAAAATGCATAAACGGTTTCTATAAAAATAATATTTTCATTGTGTTTGACATAAAATATTTAAATTTTATTTATTAATTTTGATTTCACGTATTATAAATAGACTATATCGTATGTCGCAACCCTTTAGACATACCAAACCTTAGAACCGCGTTTCATTTGTTTGGAATGCCTAATTTACTAATAAACACACGTGTATTTGTTATTTGATTCGCATTCGCAATGACAATCACAGACAGATCACTTATTTTGATGACAACACATAAAATTACAACGTTGCCAAGGGTGACATCCTTTCTTTTTATTTGCACAATACAGAATAGAAAATTATTTGTTTATAAATGGGGTTTTAAACTTGGATTTCACATAATGAACTCAAAGCCTTGTCGAAAAGTGCAATTTTATTAAACGCCATTAGCGCCCTTGATTTTTGCTATAGGAATTTCTTTTTCTCCAGCAAAATCGGTACCTATTAATTTTTTCCCACTGTAAAATTTTCGGAGCTGAACTTAGGATAATTTTTTTAGAAAGTGTGTTATGTTATAATTTCGGACCAAAATTGACAAGCACGTTTCAATATTTCGCGCTCGGATTTTGTATTTATTTTGTAACACTACCCATTTTATAGCAATTTTATGTACACCCTATTCATTTTTCTGTGATATTGTTTTGTATTGTAATAAAAACAACTTTCATTGGGAATAAATTTTTTGTATAAATGTATTTTAAAAACGGACTATTTCCGACGCTACTTGAGCTTTGTCTGTGTATTCACAAACTATCTGTAGAGACACCGAACCTAAAAGCTGGAACTGAATTTAAAATTCGTCAAATGTGCCAAATATACACAATATTTTTATTGTTTGCCCAAGATACACATACTAACCACTAACGGTATGCTGACTTTCGATTCAAATTTCGTCCAAACCGAGCAGTGACGTAATTCTGGACGATCTTTCAAGTTATTTTGACACTTTTTGATTGAATAGTGTAAAATAATTTAATAATTTATTTGTTTTTGTGTTAGCAGTGACTATATTTTCCTATATATAATAGGAAAGAACTGAATTAATATTTAAATGGCCGGGCTGCGCGGTGGAGACTTGCAAAATCCATAATGCGAAATCCAAAAATACTGTAATGTAAGATATTTTCGAATGCCACAAAATGTGGATAAATTCTTATCAAAGAAATGACAAACTTAATTTAAACAATAATGGTTAGTAAAATGCACAAGTGTAATATGTTTAGAGACAGTGAAAAGTTGCTAAAATAAAAAATATATAAATACTTTTTATTTTAGCATGAAGTTGCCCTATCCACTTTGAGGAAAGTAATAAACATAGACGCAAGAGAAGAAAACTGAATTCCACCAGGTGCATGGGGCCACATTAAGCAAAGAAAATAGGTAGTTTAAAATTTTAGCAGATAAAATAGTAGTTTCCTGTCTCAATACAACGGTCCTTTTTCAAGAAATACTATGCAAGAGCAAGCTAGGAACATGTATAAGAATAAGATACATGAATAGAAAAATTGGTTTTGATTATTTTCAAAGTAAACTTGACAAAAAAATGTTTAAATTTATCAAATAAAAAATTATTTTTTGTGTACTTACTTTTTATAAATAAATAATTTGTTTCTGCATACTAAAGAAATAAATTTAAAAAGAACTACCACGCCCAGAAAGTAAAAATTTCAGTCAAACTTATATTTTTAGTCTATATTTTTTATTTATCTTATCCAGGTTATGGATTTTGCCACAAAATAACTTAGAATTTATGAGAAAAATTAATATTTTTATTAGTATTATTTTCCTTAAACCTTCATATTTGTAAACGAATATATTACAAAATACCAATAAAGCTTAAGTAACTGCATAAAATCTAAAACCGGCGAAATATCGAATGTCAAACACTATTTCCCATTTAATACTAACAATTCTATGTCCCACGTGACGTCACCGTCAGTCAGCTGCATGCGCAGGAACATACCGTTAGTCTGTGTATCGTGTTGTATGCAGTTCTATACATAGATCGGGAAGCAACTCAGTAATAGTTATTGGTTTAGGCAACTGAACATACTTTTCGCGACTGGTGCGCCATCTGGCATAGAAAATATTGATTATCATGGTATCCAAATGTAAAAGAGGACCGTTGGGGGCAGCACCTCCCGGTGCCCTCTGAAATTTTTTAGCAATGTTCAATTTTAGAAAAAACTACTTACTTTTTTTAATAATGGTAAATACACAAGTTGTTCAGTGGCAAATGAACTTTTTTATATTTTTTTTTCATTTTATTTTTTATGTTTATAAAAAAAAGTCATCATGCGCCAATCTACGATGCATACGAAGCTCGGATACAAAAAAAGATATTTTTTTTGGTGAGTATTAAGCCCGCAATTTGAACATTAACATTTCCAATATGGCGGACTGGTATAGAACCCTCTTAAGGTGTGGATAAGGGTGAAATAAAAAATAAATCGATTGAAAAATTACTAGATTCAAAAATACTACACTTTTTTCGCTTGTGAATAATGGTTATTTAATATAATTTCGTAACAAAGTGCCTTTTGTGTTTACTTTACAACAAAGTTTAATAAGTAATTTTTTTATGGAAGTAAAGCCTAAGAGATTTGATTTGCTATTGGTAAACATAATTGATATATACCACTTATGTCGGTAAAGACATATTTTTTATAGCTGATTTGGAATGATGCATTTGGTGTCTTGTCAATATTACACGGGTTGCTCGAGAGAAGAATTCCAGGACAGTAACGGACCATATTATTATACTAAAGAAATTAAGTGTTTTTATTATTACGTTAAACTTATAAGTAAAAAAAATAATAGTAGATTATATACCAAATGAACACGCGAAAACTTTGGATGGGACAAAACTTTAGTTAAAATTTTGGGTATAAGACGGTGCATAGGGGAGCGAAATTTCATTTTAAAAATAACTTATGTAACTTGTAAGAGGGCGCCCATTAATTACGTGGTATTTTTGAGGATTTTTTGGTCTATATTTTTTATTTATCTCCGGTGAGATTTCGTAACATTTTCCCCAACTCCCTCCTCCCTCCCCTAATCTCACGTGAGATTTTTCAACATTTGTGTTTTGGGTGTAAATGCGTTGGATTATTAAAAAAAAAAAAAAACAAGAAACAATATGTTTTACTACTTTTATTTAAGACTAGCAAAGACTAGTATTTGAGAATATTGCCGTAATATAAAATTTATAGAAATAGTCCTTACTTTAATTTAGCTTTACTTTCATGCAATTTTACACCGTTTTCTACTAGAAAAAAATTGCGTCAGATTTTCAAAGAACCCCTTCTCCCCCAAGTGAGATTTGGAAAGATTTATCTTGATCCCGTCTCCTCTTTGAACATCCCACGTAATTAATGGATGCCTCCTAACTTTTTTACTGTGAATGAAGTGAAAAAAGTGCTCTTTCATAACACTTCAGAATAAATACAGGATGTCATTAAAAGTTTTAAGCTTGGAACGAAATGGGGAAAGATTGTGAGATAAAAAGTATGTAAAATTACGTCCCTAATGCACTGTTTATAGCCCTAAGGGTCAAAATTCCAACATAATTTTTACTAGAATAAAAGAAACCAGTAATGTTCTTACCGTAAGGTACAGTATTATTCGTGTTAGGTAAATATCGATGACTGTATCGTCCTTTATAACTAAATCTGTAGTAATATACTGGTTCTTTACTATGTTCTGCAATCAACTTCGCGGCTCTATCTACCGCAAACCCAGTAATGGAATCTTCATAAATCTAAAATTCCATTCACTTTTGTTTCATCACTTTCGATAGCTCATCATAATATGAATACGAACTAAATGAGTTTGGCAAATAAACTAACTGGTAAATGTTATCAAATAATTATTATCTAATTTTATTTATAAAAATAGATACTTACATCTGCAAAAGCTTTTTGTTGAGAGTAGTCAATTGTTTTATTGATGAAATAAAAATTCTTAATTGCATGACTAACAGATCTAGAAAAGTTTGTGTCTCTTTCATAAATGAATATAATCGGTGCTATTTTATCAAAATTTTCATTCAGCTGCTTTGTTAATGTCTCGTTCTCCAACACTCCTAAAAATATTGACAATTTGTAACAATAAATTATAATTATTAAAATGGATTAAAATGGAAATCAACATTGAGGAAACAAAGAGTGCTTTCGGCTTTATGATTATATCATCACATCTTTTGTCACAGTATCTGGAGGTAATTTGAAAATCAAAGTAGATAATGAAACTACATATAGATCTTTTACACAAGCGCTAAACAATACTGAAATGGAATGATTTTTATTTCATCAAAGAGGACCTAAAAATAAAGGGTTTAATATTCTTGAAGTAAGTCAGCTACTGAGCAGTAAATATAAAAGACCGCTTCCACTATTCACTCTAGTCTGGGATTAAACAAATAACCTATTTAAGAGTACTAATAGAAGCCTAAAAAAATATTATACTATTAACCCAATGTAAACGATGTCAAGAAAGAATATGGGCATACTCAAAACTACTACAAATGAACCAATAAGTACAGCTGTAACGGTTGGAACCGTTTTCGTTATTTTGACACCAACATCTCTACACAAATGTCATTTGTTGTTTATGCCTTGCGTCAAAAGTTGGTATTTGATTTCGATTTTGTATCTGTCAACGAATAAGTTGATTTAAATTTTTAATTATCTTGGACATCCGATGTACTAATTGTCTTTTAATATTTTTATTGGCCGTCTGATTTTATAAATTAAGCTTTTATATCGATATTTTGTTGAAAATATATATTTTCTACAATGATTTCTTAATTAAAATGTCAAATTTGAAACATAACCTCAACATGAATAACACATGGATAACACGTTTTATAAAATTTTATATATTGTTTTGTTTGGAATGAGATAATATGCTTTACTATATTTAAATATGTTAAATAAGAATTTTCCTTTTCATATTAATTTTAGTCTCTGTGAAACTTTTCACGTAATAGTTTAAATTGTTCAATTATTAGCTAAAGGCATTTTATCTGGTTCCTCTGCAAATTTCCTAGTTCCTTTCTTAATATTTTTACCTTTTTTCCTTGTAGCATGGCTATATCTAGACGGTTCTGTTCGAGTTATATCTAAAGAAGTTCATTTTGAGTCATCTCTAAGAAGTTTAATTCAAATATATCTAAAACTGTTTATGATAGTTATATCAAGAGGTTTAGTTCAAGTTACATCCAAAGAAGTTTATTTCAATTGATATCAAGAGGTTTAGTTCGAGTTACATCTAAAGAAGTTTCTGGAGATTTAGGGTCATGAAGATTTATACCTAAGAGTTTGGTGCTATCCGAAGAACTTCGTTCAAGTCCCTTTGAAGAAGGCCTATGCAAATCTCCTTGTATACTACCTCCTGTTAAACAGATAAGTCGATTTTTTGAATAAATCATCTAAATTTGAATAAGTAAATCTCTGTGAATTAGAATTTGTTACTGCCTTATCTAAAACTTTGTTTAAATATATTAACTTAATGGTTAGTGATTTTCTATATTTTTATCACTAATCTATAGTCAAGTATAGTAAGTTTTAAATATAGTGGTGCCCAACTTCTTGTTCAAAGTAATACGAGTTATTTAATAACCTAACCCACTCCCAAAATCATTTGAGCTTAAAACACTATAAAAAATAGATAAAATAACAAGTATCATATTACAAAAATAGCGCCTCAAATACTGGGTTAAATAGCTCGTTACTTTGAAATAGATTTCTTATAACTTATCGTTCTAATTCACATAGGTATTTCACAAAGATTAACGATACTAACTGCATGTCTTTTATATTCTTACTAATACTTTCTTACATATTATTTTAACCTTTCCTATAAATCTGTGTATCGTATCGTCAAGTTTTATATAGTATCTGCATTTTGGTACTAGATTTCGTGTTATTTATACATATTTTTACATATTTACACAAATTTATTTACACATATTTATTATATTGCTAGTGGTATATCTATATAATCATTATATACTGATAAAAGTGTATAGTTTTTGAATTTTTACCTAAAGTTGTTTTTTGTACCTATTGAGTAAAATTTTTTATTGTTAGTGATAAAACTTTGTGCCTTTAATTAATTAAATATCTATATTACTTTTTACATTTATCTGAAGATGATGATAATGAAGTTATACGTAGCATTAATAATGATACCTCTAACAGTGAATAATATATTCTGCAATTGTCTTAATTTTCATACCGTTCCTTTTCATAAGTTAAAATATTACTAAATTTTTCATAAATAATGTCAGGCCAGAATAGTAACGATTAGTATCTGGCTTTTTACTATTCTGCTATTACCTACACGACCAAGTTATACTGCCTGTAGTCAATTTTTTCCTTTTACACCAATGGAATATTTAATGTCAGGCCAGAATAATAAAAATTAGTAGTTGGCTTTTTATTATTCTGCTATTACCTACACGACCAAGTTATACCGCCTGTAGTCAATTTTTTCCGTTAACACCATTGGAATATTTATGAGTCAGACCAGACATTACCTTTTAACTTTTAACTGTCTGCTACTGCTTATTTTTTAAAGCAATACTGTCTGTAATAGCTACCTTAATTTTTGTTAATATGTATTCAGTTACTAAGAGTATTTATTTTATTAAAAAATTTCTACATAATTTTCTCTTTACTTTTGTCTTTGTTTTTTTTATTTTCTTTTCGTTTGCTTGCTTAGCACTGTATCTAATTTCTGTACACTGCGCTAAAATATTGTATATACTGGTATTAATTTGGGGTTACGATTAGCCCTTAGGTATGTAAGTAAAATCTAGTTCTTCTAGTATATGAATTGTGTTTGAAGTCGCTAATAGCGCTCTAATTGTAAAGGGGCCATTAACTAAGGGGGAAGACAAGCTATCTTCCAATTAGGAAATAAACAAGGTATGAGTTAAGGTTGTTTTTTATTTTTCTATTTATTTGGTAGGTTTAAAAGTAGGACTCTTCTGATTTGTAGTGGCTTGGTATAGTAGATCTATCTGGCGTCCAATTCAACAGAACAGCTAAAATAATATATTTTTCCCTGATTACGAAGTAATCACCCAGTCCCTTCTCCACTTGAGTGAACCGGAGCTACAAGGTTGACATCAGGGACAACCGAACTTAAAGTAACGTTTTGGGGGTTACAAAGGCATTCGACAGAGTATGGCACGCTGGGCTGATTTTCAAGATGAAAGATCAAGGGTACACAGCGGGAACGACAAGACTGCTCAGGTCATACCTCGGCGGAAGGCAATTCCGGATCAAGATGGGACATGTCCTATCAAGATCTGGAATTCCAGAAGCAGGAGTACCCCAAGGGGCGGTACTGTCACCACTGTTGTATACCATTTACACAGCTGACATCCCGAAAACCCAACATACTACCATGTCCCTCTACGCGAACGATACAGCGATATCGGCTACGAGCACACAGCAAGGACTCATATCAAGATATCTACAAGACGCAGCGAAAGACATAGAAGATAGGTGCATAAGATGGAAGATAAAGATCAACGCAGAGAAGAGACAGGCTGTGCTGTTCAAGAAGAGGCATCAGGAGAAGTAACAATGAATGGACAGGACATCCCATGGACCGATTCAGCCAGGTACCTAGGAGTAATAATGGACAATGGACTCACCTTCACCAAACACGTGGACATAGTAGTAAATAAGACGAAACAGGCAAGATCCAGACTTAACTGCCTAATCGGACGCAAGAGCAAACTCCTACTACAGACAAAAATGAAGCTCATACAGGCAGTCATAATACCCATCCTCATGTACGCCTCGACGGCATGGGGATACATCTGTAAAACAAACAGGAAGAAGATCTAGAGTCAGCAGAACATCAGCTTGAGCTGGGCCTCAAATGCCTATAGATACACTAGAAAGGTCGTACTCATAAAGGATCTAGAACTCAAAAGGGTCCTAGACCCAATCCACAAGAAGGCTACTGACACCTTTAAAAAACTAAGAACTCACCCGAACATGGAATTAAGAGAAATGACAGAATACGAGAGAGCGGACTACAGAAGACACGCCACCACGCAAGGTGCTGGAATATGGCGGAGAGTGACCAAACCTTGGGTGCAAAATTCAAGACGCTCATAGATTTAAGACTTTCTTTCATCGTTCTCTTTTAGCATACTCTTTCAGAATACTCGACAGAGCGCAGCACGCGAATCAGACAAGGACTGAGTAACTGACGACTAACCACCTGGGGGAAGAGGTCCCCCAGTCGGCAAGTAGGAGACTGGGGGTGTTTTTACAGGTAGCGACTTTCACAGAACGTTCACACACAAGACAAACAAACGGACGACCAAACAGGGAAATGCCCTCAGCAAACCCTGTCTAAGTGCTGATAATATGTTATCCTTCACAGCCCTTTAAGAAGGATGGAAATTTGAGGCCCCCTGTAACGAAGATGTCAGGAGGGACGGTGGTGTCAGGAGGGTTCCGATCCAGTCTAACAGGATGGGGAACCTTCCCGACTTGGGCTCAATTGCTATTACTGTGTGTGCACGTGCGTGTGTGTGTGTGTGTGTGTGCACGTCCGTGTGTGCGTGTCGTGTGCGTGTGCAAACTGGCAGTTCCATCTGGCAAGCTTAGTATTGCCAACCGGAGGGAAATTTCCCATTTTGCGGGAAAAAAGTTAACTCAAAACGGAATTCTTAACTCCAGTCAAAATTGTGAAATATTTTTAAAAATTATTCAAAAGATTATTAGAAAGAATTTGAATGAATTCAAACTAATAAGTGGTTTACTGTTTGTGGCCATTCTTTTAGTTTAATTAAACATATCTCCCCCACTCGTAGCATTTGAAGTAAATAAGTTAAAGTTATTCTTTCTTTCGGCACGAGCTTGAGTTAAACCGGGACTGACATGAGGGTATTTCAGCGAATGCAATAACGACGTATTTCGAGCAATCCCTTTTCTGTTCGGGGAATCCTTTTTCTGTTTTCTATGAGGGAATCGCAGTCGAAAATCGAAGTAAGAAATTGTCTTTCATTATATCTAAGTGTTAATTATTAATTATTATTAGAGCTAAGAGCGAAGGGTGTATGTGACCATAAACATGAGTAATAATACTGACAATGAAACTGAAAGTAGTCAACTAGTAAAAAAATTAAAATAACCAAATGAAAAGAAAAAAACATTTAATGTTAAGTGGTTCAAAGATCCTACTTTTAAAATGTGGTAAAGGCTTTACCAAAGAATAATAAAAGTTGTATGTACAAAGTATGTAACACATAAATTTTAAGTGATAAAATTGAACTGCTAAAACATGCAGAAAGTAAGAAACATTTAAAAAATATGACTGCTATTAATTCTAGTTCAAGTTTTTCCTCAATTTTTGCAACTAGTAATACTCTAAAATATTAGAATGCCGTGAAAAGTGCCGAAATAAGACTAAGTATCTTTTTTGCCGAACAAAACGTAGCTTCGCATACAATTGATCACTTAAAGATATTTTTTTAGAATCAAAAGTGTGCCAGGACATACAATTAGGAAGAACTAAATGTACAGAAATTATAAAAAATGTTGTTGGAAATTACGAAACAAATTTGCTTGTCAAAGATTTACGTGATACGACTTTTTCTGGGAATGGGACGTTTCGGCGTGGCCAATTCGGCGTGGCCATTTGGACGTCGCGCGTCGGCTGTTTGGACGTCGGCCATTTCGGCGTTGGAAGTTTTGGCAAACTTAATAATATCATATTTATGAATTTCAAATAATTGATATATTTATTATAATTAGGTTTATTATAATTAAATAATAAAACTATTTTTGTATCGAAAGGAAGACTAAAATAAAATGTCTACTCGTATATAGTACTACTAAAGTATAAATATTTACGAAATTACATATTGTAGTTATTGAGCAAGTCCTCTTAGATATTCTAAAATATCCTCGTTTACTTCAAAATTTTGAACAAGCCGTAAAATGCGTTCATCTGCATTCCTGTATTTTTTAACTTCAATGGTGGGAGATTGCCCACCACAAGTTGCTCGAAATATAAATCTTGAGCTTTCTGCACCTGACGCAAGCCATCTATAAATTTCCAAATGGTTGGATGATCTGCTCCCAATTCAAACTGTAGTCTTGTATGTGCTACTTCTGCATGGTTATTAAGCTTGAGCTCAGGTATGGTTTAAATGTTGGATTAACGGATTAGTAGGGACGAGTTATTCCAGTAAATGCCTTAAACTACATCTTAACTATTATTATACTAATGTTCATTTAAATATTAATTACACTACAAATATAATTCTGATAGGTACTTGAAAAACAGATTAAAGCATTTATCCCAATCCTATGCCATACCTAACTTATTTCAACACTTATTTCATAAAAAACATTACAGCGGTTTTAACATACATACTCAAAAATAGTATTCCCGACGCCGAAACGGCCGACGCCGTAACGTCCGGCGTCGAAATGGCCTGACGTCCAAATGGCCACGCCGAAACGGCAACGTCCAGATGTCCTAAACACTATTTTCTGTTCTTGTTGATGAGACCACCGATATTAGTGCAAAAAAATCCATGTTTGTTTTAGTTCGCTATTCAAAACAATTTAAAGTAGTGACACAACTTCTAGAGCTAGTCCAGCTTAATGCTGCTGACTGTTTTAATAAATATGAAATACCATTGCAAATATAGTTGGTGTGGCTTCGGATAGAGCAAATGTGATGGTGGGAAAAACAATTCTCTTTTCACATTTAAAAAGTGAAATTCTAGACATAATATTAATGCGCTGCATTTGTCATTCTTCAGCTCTAGTTGCGAGTGCTGGTTGCGCAGAACTACTATCATCGGTGGAAAATTTCATTAGGAGTTTATCAACTTATAGTTCTGGAAGTGCAAAAAGATGTACCATTCTACAAGAAATACAAAAATTCATGCCATTGGAAACTACAAAAATCTTAAATTTATCTACAACACGTTAGCTTAGTCGTAATGCCTGCATTGTAAAAATTTTGGATAACTGGGAAGCTATGAAACATTTTTTTACTTTGGCAGTATTTGAAGATAAATTAAAGTCTGTAGAAGATATTTTAAATGAAATGCAATACATGCGTTCAAAGGCTTGTTTACTGTTTCTTAAATATGCTTTAAATTTTTTGAATAGTTTTAATGCGTTATTTCAGTCAAGAAAACTATTAATTCATAAGCTGTTTGATTCTTCAGAAAAATTATATAAACAAATTTGTAGTAACTTTTTAAAACCTGAAGTTTAACTGCTAATCGCAATCTTTGCGAAATTAATGTAAAGCATCCTTATAATTTTGAACAGTTGGAAAATATAAACTAGGGTATTGGATGTCAAGAATTCATTCGTAACTTACCTCAAACTGAAAAAATAATATTTTAAAAATGTGTTTTCAATTTTACGTCACTGTTGCAGCCCAGATACAATTAAGATTACCACTCAATAATATTTTTTTTAGAAACCTACAATTATTAGATCCCAAAGTTACATTTAATTTTAATAATCGAACTAAATTTAACGTTGATATAACAGAAGTGTCAAAAATATATCCTAATCACATTAATCTAACACAATTAAGTGACGAGTGGCAAAATTTGCCAAATGCATTTAATGAGTTTGAAATTATAGATTTTAAAAATATGCCAATTGAAGAAATGTGGCTTAAATTAATTTATTCTAAAAATTTTAACGATGAATATTTATTTCTCAGTTTAAAACAAACAATAAATATTAAACTTTCTTTGCCTCATTCTAACGCTGAGGCTGAAAGAATATTTTCTTTGGTTACAGACATCAAATCGCAGTAGCTTACAAAATAACAATTTAAACTTTACCGAGTATGCAGTTATTGATAAGCATTTAGAGTTACATAATACAAAAATGTATGATTTTAAAAATAAATAAAATTTAAATTGTTAATTCTTTAAAGTATTTTTATTGTTTTGTTAAAAGATTTGTTTTTTAAGTTATACTTCTTTATAGTTTCTTACTTATGTAGGTTCGTTCATTTTTCTTTTAATAAATATTTTTTTGACAATATGTACATGCTTGTATTTCTGGTATAAAACGATTTTGTTAACGGGAGGAATATTTTTCCATAAAAGTGGGAATTTTTAAGGTAGGTGGAGGGATAAAGCTTACTTCAAGGTTGAAAACACTGGGCAAGCTGAGCTGGAAAGAACTCACCACCTCCCCCGAGTAGTACATGTTGAATACCTTTCGGTTTCTGACCGCTCCCAGAAAAAATTACATTGACGCCGGCCGTAAAAGCCTATATTCTTTCAATAAATGGAACAATTTTAATAATTTTCATTCTATAATATTCCTGTAACATTTTACCAGATACGCGAACATTAATTTAATATTTTTATTATTAACACAATATTATATAGCTCAACTAATAAATAGTACTACTCCAAACGATGTAATTAAAAATCAATGATAACACTGTTATTGAATGGCAGCCACTGAAAATAAGAAGTAGAGAGACGACCAAATATTAGTGGTGTATCCAGAGTTTACGCTTGGGGGTAATTTATGCGAATGTGTTATTCTGACTTTTATTTATAATATAAACACGAACCCAAGAAACTTTTAAACTCAGATAAAATTATCCCCACTACCTCCCACGCCACTGCCAAACGCCATAAATATGGATTAGTAGAGACCAAACAATAATGTCAGAAGAAGATCTGTGATAGTGATAGGGCAAATGGTCAAACAAAAAGACAAAAATTAAGATTTCATAACTGTAGTGTATGTAATACTTACTTAACGAAAACCAACCGAATTCATCTCTGGTCCTGCCAGTAATAAAAGGAACTTGTTTAAATTTTCCGTTGGTAATTAAACGAATTGGATTTTCTGGTAAAAATATAGGTTGACCTACGTCTGGCTCTATTACTGGAGACCATATCAACACAGGATCGTTTCCGAATTCCTAGATATGAAGAAAATTAATCACAAAATGTTTTTATAAAAAAAAATATTTTTTGGAAAAATAGTATTTATGAGTAAAGTTACTAATTTTAAAATATTTGACCTTTCATGCATGATTTTTGTTTCAATCCAAAAAAAATAAAATAGCTAAAAATCTGATTAATAACTATTTATTGGTTTATAACAAACTGATAGAAATGAAAAAAGTTACATTTTTGTAAACAAAAAAAATGTCCTCATATGAGGACTTAGTGTGTATTACTCATGGTAGTCTTCAAAATATTCCGAACACAATGCCACCTTACAACGGCTACAAGAATACCGTGTTTTCCGTTTACATTTTGCTTTCCTGTACCGAGAAGCATTTTTTGTTCACTTTTTGTTGGCTAGTGGCCAATATTATCCAACCTTCTTTCGTTTGGTACGTGAATTCTAGGTCGCCTAATGTGAGATGGAATTGGTGGAATTTCGCTACGTGGCCTACCTTTTTCTTTTCATCTGCCCTTCTCCTTTACAAATTAGAGATGTAGCAATTTGGCTTTTGAATGACTGTAATTCTAACGGTTCATGTTTATTAAACCTCCAGATTAGCCACGCGTTCACAATTGTTACCTACAGTTAACAAATTGTAAAAAACTTGCATATACCATCTTCAATTTTTTGTGTCGTTTCTATAAAGTGCTACCAGCATATCCATGAGATCGACACCTCCTACGTGTTTACTATAAACAGTTTAGCTCGAGCTCTAGTGATTTTTATGTTTTGTCTCTGCTTTCGACAAAATCGGGTGGCTTTCTCATAGGGGGTTAGGCCTACATAGTTAGATACTGTTGCACCAAGGAGTTATCCAGCCAGCGTACTATGAACACTCCATCAGCTATTACAATTGAAGAGCTACCGCGACCATCAACTTTTAGATCCTTGTGGCTCTTTAAAACTTCACTAGCTCCCTCGAGTCTATTAATTCTGATCGTTCCAAGGTACCACACCTTTTCTGTTTTAACAGCAAGAACTAATGGAATGCTGGAAAAAAATTGTCTGCGAAAAATCTTGTAATCTTTTATATCATGGCATAATCACATTACGACGTCACCACCTATACCTAATTCGGTGATACTTTCCCTATTTCCAGAAGCTCCCTGGTATGTTTCAAAACAGTACATATAACCCAATGTTCCTGCACGTATTCAAATTTTATAGCTCCATTTCTTTGGTTTCTTCACAGATGAACGACCCTTAAAATGTATCATCATTTCATCCAGAGACATGGACTCTCCGGATCAACAGCTTCGTGAAATTTTGAATGTAAGTGATCTAAAACTGGTCGTATTCTAATAAATGTATCTGTGTTGTTCTCTGGAATTTCTTCGGAATCAGTAAATTGCAAATAACACCTAATTGCTACATAACGGTTTACCCTCCATGGCATCTACGATAAAGTTTATTCGGAGACCACTATCTGCACTCCAATAAGTCCTAATTCTTGGATATTTTATGTAAGTCATCATTATTGTAATACCTAGGAAAATTTTTAATTCCGGTACCGTTAAGTTGAAATTTGGTTTTCCATTTTGGTGGGCGTACAAGTTAGTTTAATATGCGATATCATAAAGTAAACTATCACCGAAAAAAAAAAAGAGAAGTAGTCACCTGGAGATTAAAAGTTGATATTTACTTTATGTTTTTTACTGCATTCGGGAAGATTTGACGCTAAATGGTTTTCAGTTTCCAAAATCCACCTTCTAGTAATTTCTTGCTCGTTTTGAATCTTTTATTCTTAGATACAATTGATTTTGCTTCTTTTCGTTTCCTTGTTTTCGTTTTCACTTTTAACAGATCTTCTTGAATCGTGGGCTCTGATGTTTCTTCTGTTACTTCGTCTTCGTCATAATTGGAATCGGCAGAGTCTTCGTCTTCTCCTATACTTTCTTCCTCATTAAAGTCTGAAGGAATATATTCCGATCCATCACTTTCAAAAGGTTCTTCGTCTTCATCTAAGAGTTCAAATCTGTCTTCAGACCCCTCTGCCACCTCTTCTAATTCTTTTATAGTAAACGGTCTGCGGCGATCATATGTGTATGAATAAGCAGTAGCTGGACGTTCTTCAATTCTTATTTTGTGCATCATTAGTACATTTTGACGTACTCAGTTGTGCCTCAAGACTTTTTGAAGGTTATGAATCCGTACTTTTTGAAATAATTTGGGAAGACGGATGTATCAGGTATGTGGAATGAATATGTTGTGAAAGACTTTCCTTCTCGATTCCAAAATTATCTTCAAAAAGTATACCACTTTCTACGATTTCTTCCAATTACTTATTTCTTAATAAAGGATCTTTATATCTCTACATTTTTAGGCTGAAAAGTAAAAAAAATATATTTTTGAAGAAATAACAATCGAAATAATACGATAATAACTTGAATACACATTGTCCTCAAATGGGGACAAATAAGATTGATGTTCTCCATGTTGTTCCCATATGGGGACATCCGTATTTTGTCAAAAACTAAAATAAATTTCGCTACTTGTGTAAATCAAACTAATCTAATACCCACTAGACCCATTCTAAAAACAATTAATTTTAACTTACCAAAATTTGTCGGTATTATGTTGAAACACGATAACAAAAAGTTGTAAAGACAAAGCTGTTTATACACTAACACGAGTCGGGATATATTTTACGCGCGAACTCAGTTTTCAAGGTTTACGACTGCCGGCGGCTATTAACGATTCGATTACTTACTATTATGGTTCTCATATCAGGACAATAAGAACTAACTGTAGTGAATTTGAGCGATTAAGTATTTTTCATATATTTTTAAAGTTATGTCCTCATATGTGGACAATATGCATCAAAGGGTTAATTTTCCTTAAAAAAAATAATATTTAGTTAAAAAAAAATCAAATTATTAGGTCTTGAAAAATTATTAATTAATAGTAGTTACTACAACAAGAGTGGATATGATGGCCATATCGCATGAAGTGCTCAATCGTGCGATGCCGACAATCAACTCTAGTTATTTTTTCTACAACCCACTAACGAAATTCCATGAATTTTAAAAATTATTTTAGGTCATTAAGATAAAATAACTAATTCACAAATAATTTATGATCTTTACTAATTTATAAATTAAGGTAAACTTGAAAAAAAATATTTTAAAAGTTTTAATTTTATTTAATACAAGATTTGAACTTGGGACCTTTCGCATTGCAACTCAAAACACTACAATAAGCTAATACTCATTATTAAATGGATTTCATTAAGTTTTATTCAAAATTATGATTTATTTATAAATATCTTGTGAACTGCTATTATTTATCGATTCTTCACAAGAATAACTAATTTTTAATTATGTTTAATCTCCATATATGACAAAAAAAACTAATAGTAGTTGACCAAAATATGAAAGGTGATTTAGTGGATAGTGGATTTCATCATATATGGATATGAAATATATTTGTTCAGTTAAACGCAATGGCCAACTTTTTTATTTTATAGTCTGTGCGTAGAATAGCTAATATACATGTGGGTGCAGTAAAAAGTTATTTTTGTTGTCTTTGTTTCTAAATCTTATTCGCTTAAGTCAAACGTGTTTTTTAAAATGTTATTTGTTTTCTTACCGCGAATTTAGGAAGAGAATCGCCTAATTCTTGAAACGATTTTGTTTTTAAACAATTAATGATATTTTTAGAACAATCGTCAGGGCAGCCAACAATTCTTGCTTGTTTTCTTGCAATCTCTAACTGATCATGTGGTATGGGTCCAATATTTGTTGGTGAACTAGCTATTGCTTTATGAAATAAACCTTAAAAAGGATTTAAAAATAACAAAAAGAAAAAGCAATGTACTGAATTCAATATAAAATCTAATTTACAACGTCATAGAAAGCCTCAACAATCAATTTCAAATCACTGTCAAGTCTGGAACTTATGTACTAGATATAAAAAATAAAAGAATGCAATTAAAATTCACTAGCAAACCTATATTAAAATATACTTGAATGATTCAAAATTGAAGAATTTCGACCCTGCAACTATGTGTGATTTGGAGTGAATTAGATTTTATATTAAATTCAGTATACATCTTTTATTTTTTATATTCTATGAGACGATTCTACTAATAAACTCTATAATTGTTTTAATAGTTTAATAAATAATTAGTTACCCTGAGACATGGGTGAAACCATATGTAACACAACACTTGTAGCACCAGCACTGTATCCAAAAATCGTTACAGAATTTGGATCACCACCAAATGAATGAATATTTTGTTTAATCCATTTTAAAGATTGCACTTGATCTTTTAAACCATTATTACCGGGAGCCAATTTATCACCAGTACTAAGAAAACCTTAAAAAAAAAATATATATATAGGTATTACCTTAATTAATAGCTTTACAGGCTAGCCTATTTAATACCGGGAGCCAATTTATCACCAGTACTAAGAAAACCTTAAAATAAAATATATATATATATATATATATATATATATATATATATATATATATATATATATATATATATATATATATATATATAATCTATAAAAGCGAACTAAGGCTTAGTCTTTGCCGACTAGTTAGGAAATTTTTGGGGAATTTGGCAAATTACTTCACTAGTGTACTCTTTTAAATTTATTTCGAGCTTTCGAGTATGGTTATACTCATTATCAAGGAGCTACATAAGTTAATAAAAGTTGTTAAAAAGACAAGTTAATTGATTAAGAAAGTTAAACTTACAACTCATTGAGGATGGTGTGTAAAAGGTCATCAAATTAAAATTATTGGACATCACAGTTTACAAAGACGAAAAATATTTTAAACGGACAAACACTTGATACATTATTTGTATTAATTCAAGAAAAAACATCGATGTTTTATAAAATTTGTGGAACACAAAGCAACATGGCTAACGGCGTGGGTGTCACATGGTTGTGAACCCCGCGAAAAATGAAGTAAAATGTCATGTGTCAGTCAACTATCAAACATGTCATCGGCAGAAAAGAAGAACGCAAGTGGCCTATGTCACCTTAGCACAAAGGGTACACCATCCAGCCCATGAAAAGCTTGACTGATGACTAACCTATGAGAATAATAAATTTTATTATATTTATGTGTTTTAATTATTATAAGACTAATAATTGTACGGAGGAAATTCTGATTTGTTTTAAAAGATGTCACTAACTTTGCAGGCGACGTTGCCCTCTGAGTAAACAGTACGATGCCCTTGTTAGGGTTGCTATCCCCTACCATGGATCATACTGATCACTGACCTGACAATATCACGAGCATAATTAGTGCATGTGGTTTTAATCGCAAAATTTGAAATTAAGTGTTAAATAGTCAATATAATAATTATTACACAATGACTAACATTAGGAAAAAAATTTTGTAAAATTATACTTGAAACAGTAAGCTGAAAATTGAAAAATTAAAGAATATACAACAAATTATACGGGTGAAATTTTGATTTGATAATTCTATGATACTAGTCTATGTCTGATGTCACCAAGTGAGTGAGGCTCAACAATTAAATAATTGAAGACCCTCCCTCACCTATTCTGACATCATTCACAGAGCTAGTAACATTTGGATTTAATGCAATTTGAAAAAAACTAAGTTTATGAAAACTACAACTCAGACAAACTTGTGTTGTCCATACCGACATCTCTATGTTTATCCAAATATAAAAGATAGGAGAAGATTTCACTTAAATGTTTAATATCTGATCTTTTATTAATGCTATTGTCGTGTTGATAAATGTGTGACATTTCTAAAAATTGTCTTTTTGAGATGTTGGTTTCTCTTTCTAATATCGTTGCATTTTCATAGTCCATAATATGGTCATTTTTATGGACATGTTCAGCCAAAGCACAACGTTCAGGGTGTAGTCTACTGTCGCTCCTGTGGGATGTTATACGGTCTTTTAAGCATCTAGAAGTTTGGCCAATATATGATTTTTGGCATGTATCACACGGGATACAATAGACCACATCACTCAACGAAGTTATGGGTACTTCTAAATTGAAAGATGTTTGTCTTCAATTAATACAAATAATGTATCAAGTGTTTGTTTCGTTTAAAATAGTTTTCCTGAACGTTGTGCTTTGGCTGAACATGTCCATAAAAATGACCATATTATGGACTATGAAAATGTAACGATATTAGAAAGAGAAAATAACCTCTCAAAAAGACAATTCTTAGAAATGTCACACATTTATCAACATGACAATAGCATAAATAAAAGATCAGATATTAAACATTTAAGTGAAATTTTCTCCTATCTTTTATATTTGGATAAACATAGAGAGGTCGGTATGGATAAAACAAGTTTGTCTGAGTTGTAGCTGTCACAAACTTAATTTTCAAATTGCATTAAATCCAAATGTTACTAGCTCTGTGGGTGATGTCAGAATAGGTGAGGAAGGGTCTTCAATTATTTAATTGTTTGAGCCTCACTCACTTGGTGACATCAGACATAGACTAGTATCATAGAATTATCAAATCAAAATTTCATCCGTATATATTTTGTTGTATTTTTTCTACTTTTTCAATTTTTAGCTTATTGTTTCAAGTATAATTTCAAAAATTTTTTCCTAATGTTAGTCATTGTGTAATAATTATTATATTGACTATTTAACACTTAATTTCAAAATTTGCGATTAAAACCACATGCACTAATTATGCTCGTGATATTGTCAGGTCAGTGATCAGTATGATCCATTGATGGCAACCCTAACAGGGGCATCGTACTGTTTACTCAGAGGGCAACAACGCCTGCAAAGTTAGTGACATCTTTTAAAATAAATCATAATTTCCTCCGTACAATTATTAGTCTTATAATAATTAAAACACATAAATATAATAAAATTTATTACTCTCATAGGTTAGTCATCAGTCAAGCTTTTCATGGGCTGAATGTTGTACCCTTTGTGCTAAGGTGACATAGGCCACTTACGTTTTTCTTTTCTGCCGATGACATGTTTGACAGTTGACTGACACATGACATTTTATTTCATTTTTCGCGGGGTTCACAAACACGTGACACCCACGCCGTTAGCCATGTTGCTTTGTGTTCCACAAATTTTTTATAAAACATCGATGTTTGTCTTCAATTAATACAAATAATGTATCAAGTGTTTGTTTCGTTTAAAATAGTTTTCGTCTTTGTAAATTGTGATGTCCAATAATTTTAATTTGATGACCTTTTACACACCATCCTCAATGAGTTGTAAGTTTAACTTTCTTAATCAATTAACTTGTCTTTTTAACAACTTTTATTAACTTTTGTAGCTCCTTGATAATGAGTATAACCATACTCGAAAGCTCGGAATAAATTTAAAAGAGTACACTAGTGAAGTAATTTGCCAAATTCCCCAAAAATTTCCTAACTTATTTCCTAACTAGTCGGCAAAGACTAAGCCTTAGTTGGCTTTTATAGAATATATATATATATATATATATTTACTTTAGCGCTTACACATTCCCATTTTGCTACATACTACCGACGTTCTCAGTCCAAAACCTACGTTGTCAGTCCCACTTTCGGGCATGACAACGTTTTCCATGCTAGATGGGCTAGAGGGGGTCTATAGATCACAGGGATGAAATATTAGCTGGGCCTGAAAAGTCGCAAAAATGGTCATTTTTATACGGATTTAGTTCCGGGACCAAACGGCTAGGTGGCGCTCGAGTTAGAAGTGTATATCGTATATATTTCGTTCCATTTTTACAACGATTACAGGCCCGAAACTTGGCAACAGCGCGGTGGTTTCATGGAAACAGTTATTATGAAACAAGGCAAATATAAGAAATAAGCCGTGATGGGAAGGTTTAAATTCAATACGTATTTTCGTAATAATGTGTAGTGTTGGTAGCGAAGATCTTAGCGGTATAAGTTTGGTATTTTTTGGATTCAGGTGTTTTGTTTGTTAGAATTCCAGGGCCAGAGTTTTTCTAATTATTATTCGTGTGATGTTTGGTGTAACAATATCAGTATAGTATTTAGTTTAAAAATAATTAATTGGATTATTTTAAAGAAAAACACTATTGTTTAAGTTACCTATTCATGATATTTAAAAAAATACATATACATATGCAAGTAAGAATTATTTTGTTAAATAACTCAAAAACATGGAATTCAGAAAGTATCGCTCAATCAGTGGCGTACAAAATTGACGTTGGACTTTTTCAGGTTTTATGAATTTATGAGAGCTAATAATTATACAGTATGTCTGAAAAAGTTGGCAACATATGAGAAACTTTTTTTTTGTGTTGTTACGAAAAAAAGTTATTCTTTATAAAAATTTCGACATGGCCCGTAAAGTAAAACGCAAATGTCAGATGTCAATTTTTTAAACCGTATACGAGGTTTGTCAAAAAATATAATTTTGAACAAGAGTAAAGTACCTTTATTTTATACAATATCGAAAACTTTAATATTTATTATTTATTTCTCGAAAGCTTTTACTAGGCTGACTTTCGATAAGAGAAATGTCAGTCAGAACCGCCTAAATTTTAAATTATTTCGTTTATTTTTGTGTATTACATTAGAAAATACATTATTTTGTTGGGTATTACTTATTTATCACTGATTTAAGTTAATTGCTAAAATATTGCAAATCAGCAAATAAACATTTAAGATGTGTTGAATTGTTAAATAAGATAAAAGTTGACGTGTTTTACAACTAAAATTTGTAAAATTTAAGTTGAAATTGAAGTTGTCAAAACATTTCTATTAATCTTTTGCAATGTCAAATGTAAATACCTTGTTACGGGTTAATTGTAAAAATTTAATTAATTTAAATTTAAATATCTTTTCTGGGCATAATTTAAAATAAATAGTAAATTTACCTGTTTTCCAATAAGCTGACACAAAATAAATTAAGGCAAAATAAAACTATTAACTTAATTCGGGATATTCTTCTAGTACAATGTATAACAATTTATTTCAATTATTCTACTTCCATCATAATTCTTCTTAGTTCACTAATAGGGTCTTTTATATCTTCTTGACTTTCCTGAAAGAAAAAAATAAATATTAAACTCTGAATAAATTAATAACAATAACATAACCTTTAGAATTTCAAAGGTTTAAACTTAAATGATTATTCTTTTCTTCTCATACATAAAAATTGTCAATTAGGAAACTAAAACTTGTCAGGTAAACCTACAACCAGATCTTTTCTATAGTCTTACCTCTAGACTAATAAGACCGGCTAAGGTCAATAACAAAAAAAAGGAACTTTTTTTTAAAAAGCTTTCTCTTTAGAACGCACATTTTGGTTCGTGAAGAACGTGCTCGCATTATTGCGGATTTTTACATAAATCTAGAATAAATTTAGTGAATAT